TCGCTTGCCCGGTGCCCAGCCTGCCCCGGGGCCGGGGGGCTGTGCCCTGCTGCCCCCAGGCCCCGCGCGGCGCTGAATTGGGGGTGCGGGGGCGGTGTGTGTGACCATGACTGATCACACACGTCTGTGTGCACGTGTGTGGCCGTGTGCTTGACTGCACACACGTGTGTGCATGCATGCTCATGTGCAACGGTGCATGCATATGACCCCTGTGTGCATGCAGGCAATCGTGAGTGCATGTATGCATGTATGTGGCTGTGTGTGGCCCCTCCTGGGGTGCGTGTGATGGTGGCTGTGACCATACCTGTGTCTGGTACATGGGACCGTGTATGCATGCATGTGTGTGTGCACATGTGAACATGCGTGAGCTTTAAATTTCCCATACTTGGTTGCTACTCTCAGGCCAAAGGGGAACGCTCAGGGTAATGTTACCGCCCCTCTCACCCCCCAGCAAAACCGAATGTGGTGACCCTGGTGGAGAACTAGTGGTAGGTAGCGGTAAGGCAGGTGGCTGCGAGGAAGTGAGGGGGAAGCCTTTGACCTGAAGGCTGGTGTACTAGGTAGTTTGCTTTTTCTATCCCTTGTACTGCAAGGTCAGGGCACAAGAGTGGGACTTGCTGAGCTGTGCCCCGAATAGCTTTCCATTAGGATATAGGCACCGTCCGTCACAGGCACCTTAGCTGTGCTCAGTATATTATCAAATATTGGGAGGGAAGGATGATTTCTTGCAAGTGGTTTTACAGATATTCTCTCTCAGCCTCACAGCCCACCTCTGAAGTCGGGTTTTAGTGACTGACCTTTTAGGAGGAGGAGATGGGATTCTGACATGCCGGAGACAACAGAGAGAGCCAGCATCAGAAGCGAGACTAGAAATCAGGTGTATTTTGTGGAGATCAATTTCCTTGACTGGAAATGTTGAGCCCCAGCTCAAGTCTGGGATCGTGCCCGGTATGCAAAAGCCAATAAAGATACCAGGGGTGAAAGTATAAAGATTTATTGCTAGCAATACAAGGTGCAAGCGGAATAATTTCACGTAACAAGCACACAGAGTCTTAATTATGAGCATCTTTTATACAGGAGTATTGGACCTTCATAAGCATTCTTGTTTGCTAATTGGTTATAAGGGAGTGACGCAAGGAGTTCTTTACTGAGCATGTCTCTATACCTGTGTTTTAGCTATGTATCTCATTTCCATACATGTATGTTTCATTAGCATACTTTCTCCCCACCTAGGGGTGTGAATCTTAATATTTAAATCAGCTCTTTGCCCTACTCCACTAATTCTGTTTTTGTTTTCAAGCCTCCTTTATCTAAGACTGTCTTCTCCTTATCATTGCAATTGAGCATTAGTTACAGAACAGAGACTTTTGCTTGGGCTATGTGTAGTGGTTTCTAGGTCAAACCTGACAGAAATACTGGAGAATGTTTTAATAAGAACAAGGGTAAAAAAAAAAGAGATGTCCTACATAGCGCTGTTTTTTTTTCTCTCTGTTACGGTATACCTTTTCTGTATTCTACACGACAGCAGCTTTTGAACTGAAACTTCGTGAAGTTGTGCATTTTGCCTGCTTCCGAGGCACTTGTGCTCCAGTTTGTATTGCGGGTGGGGTGACCCTGGAGTTCTTCAGGTTTAGAGTCTACGTAGTTAGACATCTCACAGTGTTAAGCATATGCCGGAGCTGTCTTGAAATATTTGAGGTAGACAAAACTCTTGGGGGCGATATCTTTATTAGAGCAACTAAATATAGTTTGTAATGTATAATTGTAGCAGCAGTTGAGTGATGTAGGGCAGTAGCTTTGTGTGTTAATTCAGAGAGAGCATTCGCAGGTACTGAGCAACACAGGCATGTAGAAGAGAGGGAAGTTATAGAGGTGTATAATTTAGTTGGTCTAAAAGATATCGCCTCTACCCCAAGAGTTTTGTCTGTCTATGCTTTTAGATCAACATGGTTAAAACCAATATCCTTGAAATATTTGAAGTCCTTAGTTCATTTAAAACTTGATTCAGTAAGATACTGACCAATGTCTGAAAAATTGAGGGCCCTCCACTTACATGGTTTTTTAGCACCTTGTAAGATCAGTCCTTTAGGAACTCTTCTGTGCTGCAAAAGTTTGTTTAATTCAAATGCATAGAGTCAAACTGGTGCAAGCCCCATAATACAGATATAGTTAAACTGGTTTAGCTCTCAGTTAAATTGGCTTAGTTTGTGTTAGTACATTACTGAATGAGGCTAAACTTATTTATGTGAGGGCTAAATGGTTTGTGTGTCTATGTAGGGGTTTGCACTGGCTTAAGATTTAATATTTTAAATGATCTAAACCAGCGATGGCCAACTAGCAGCACATGGGCCACAGGTAGCACAGACGGCTGGGGTGGGTGTTTGGCATTTGAGCCAAAGACCTCCTTAGTTAAAGGAGGTGCTGGCAACAGGAGTTGACATGACTACTGGGGAGGGAGTGGAGATCAGGCCAGCACTTGGGGGCAGGGTAGGAATTGCGTTTCATTGTTGGCTCAAGTGTTTGGCCCTGCAGGAGCTGCAGGAGTAGGTATTGGCAGACCTGGGTTGCCATGTGCCCATGGCGACAGGATTTTACAGCAGTAGTTAACAACAGCGATTGATTATAAGAATGGCATTATTTCATGCTTTTAACTTAACTTGTAGCACTTGTAGCATGCTTGTCAAAATAATTGCCCACCATCCATTTAAACTATGAAAAGCCTTCTAGTGTAGACAAGGTCTTTGTATATACAGTCATCGAAACAATAAGATACTTCTGAGTAACTGTCTAAATACTGGCTGTGGCTGCATTCATTTGGGATTGAGGGGAGGGAGAGATTCATGGGTTGGTTTTCTTCCTGTGTTGTTTTCACCCTTAACTAAAAGCCACAGTAGTTCTTTATTTGGAACCATCAAGTTGATGTTTAACCACATGAGCTTCCTTCCCCTTGCTTGTTCCTTTTCTTAATTTGAGATGTTCATTTATCATGCTTCATCTCAATGTGCAAGGACTGTCTTCCCATATGTTTGTATGGCACAGTGGGATACCAGCATGATCAGGGATTGAGATGTTCAGCAGATCATAACAGTTCTCTGTCTACAACAAGCCAAATGCTATTAAATTATCATTGGGGTTGACAGTCACCCTCACAGTAGCTTAGGTTGGTAGTTTGGGAGTTATTGGGACTCTTCTCTCTCCCTGAACCCATGCATCTTGCTGTTATTTCCTCCTCAAGTGTTTTGAAGATCCATTTTTTTTCTATATGTCTACCCTGCTAAAGTTGTCATCTGGGCTTTCATTTTCTAACACCTGAAGCCTGGTCTGACCTTCATTATGTCTATACATCTTAGTTCATCCAAAATACCGCTGTGATGATGACCCTTTTCTGGCTTGTAATTCTAAACATGTTAGCCCTGTCTCAATCTCTCTACAACTTCCCTCTCTTCTACATGCCCTATGTTGCTCCTTACCTGTGAATGCTCTCTCTGAATTAACACACACAGCCACTGTCCTACTCTGCTCCACATCTCTCAATAACTGCTGCTACAATTATACATTACAAAGTGGAAAATGGTTAGGAAAGTGTCTTTTAGTATTCATTCTTGTCTTTCAGGTAAAAAAAGAAAAACATAATTTACTAGTCTGCATAATTATATCATATGGTTCTGGTAATTTATCCCTTTTCCTCCTTCTTTTAAACATGCCTGTTGCTTCATCAGTTTTTACTGGCTATCTATAGCTCTTAGCACAATGGAGCCCCAGTGTTGCTTGGGGTGGGGGGAGGGGCGGGGGTGTCTCAGTGCCAACGTTGTAGACTTTTGCCTCTTGTTCCAAGGGTGCCCAGCTAGAAGTATGAAACACAGTACTTATGGATTGGAAAAATTAAATTGACTGCAGCTCTACAGTTAGGAAAAAAGATTCTATCCAAATAAATTTGCAATAGAAAACTGGTAGTACTGTGCACAAGCTTAGATATTTGATCTGCTTTATCATCTGGTGTGAGAAAGTCCTTCAGAGTTCTGTGCTACTTAAAAGAAGAAAACAAAACGAAACATGGCATTGGCTGAAACACCATACCCCTGCTTTGCTCAGGCAGTGCAGAAGGGCTAGATGCTAGCCATCTCTGGCCAGCTGGTCAGTTTTTGTGTGCATATAGCTTCCAGCTCTGACAAAGCTTGTATAGCCAGTCCCTGCCACACCATGCCATGATGGCATGTGATTGGTGGTGGTAAAGGATAGGTGGGTTTAAGACCGGCAGAAGCAGTATTCTTAAATGGCTCCTGGGGACTGCTGTCAGCCGGTGTAGGTTAAAGCTGCCTTGAATATGTGGTTTAATGATGGCTGTGGCTGAACCTGAGCTATGCAGAAAATTAGTGGACACCCAGCACATGTACTGTGCAGCTCTTTGTAAGGCTGAAACTGGCACATTGGTTAGGTTTTTATACCTTTCTGTACCTCTCAGGAGTAGTTAAATGTAGTCTTGGAAATACTTACTTAGCACTTTGATCTTTTAACTTATAGGTCACAGGTACATCACTGCATCTGTATAGAGCCTCACTGACTTCATGTACAAGAGCAGAATCATTGCCCATATACAGTGAATTTTGGAGTGCAAACCTTGTATTGTAAACTGTTAAATGAAAAAAAAATGTCTCAGCTGTCCACCTTCTAGCATAATGAGGCTTAGTTCATTTATTAATATAAGTTTGATGTTTTGTGATCTGTAAGCAGCACTCTCGTTCCATGTAGCTCCTTTTCAAAACAACCTTTTAATGAAAATAAGGACAAATTGGTATGCCAAGTAGTATTCAGGTTTGAAGACGGGATCCAAAAGTGGAACCTGGGGGAAAAGAATTAATCTGCTTATGCCATACTTGACAGTATTCTCTACAGTAAACAATATAATGGTATTTCTGTAATGTGCTTTGATATAGAGGTGACTTTGCTTATGAATGTTTCTGTGCCTCGGACTTATCAGTTTTATTTCCTTTAAACAGGAGTAGAAGCATAAAGAGACGTTTCCTTTGTGAAGGCTGATAAGAGAGTCGAATAGCAGTTTGAAGTGGTATGGCTTGACTGCTTTTACATTTGCAATGAGAGAGCTACATTTCTCAGTGCTGGAGGGGAAGCGATGCTAGTAGTGGATTATACTCATTGCAGCACAATTGAAAACAATAAATCCTAATCACTGGTAGACTATAAACAAGTGTGATGCTGAAATGAGATGAGGCTCCGAAATGGAACTGTGGCCACCGTGTTAGTTTTCATCACTACTTTCCTCAGTTTGTCCTGGTACACTGCGTGGCAAAATGGGAAAGGTAAGTAAAAGTCTCTAAAAACAAACGACACAGGGTGCGTGGAGGAGAAATGAATATTACACGTGTTGGGTTTTTTGTTTTTTTGTTTTTTACTACTAATCTGTAAGTTGTATACTGCCGGTTCTTCTCTAGACAATACTGCTATAATGGGTATGAACATCTGTTCCTGCAGTCAGAAAATTCTGCCGGATGCAAGACTATTGTCTCTGTTTAAAAACATGCTTCTGGTTGGAGGAATGAAATGCTAAATGCTCCCGTCTGAGGAAAAGGGGAGAGGTTTGTGTCCATAGCATGTTTTCAGCAAAAAGGTGCAGTTCTTTAATTTTCCTGTAACAGTCAGCCAGTGGGCCAGGCAGGAAAGTTACCTTTTGGCACCATATTCTGCTTCCTTGCTGACTTGGCAATGTCAGGCGAGGGTGGAAACTGCTTACCAACCTCTTTTTCACATCTATTTGGTTATCTTTGCAGAAGATGTAAAATATTTCCAGTTTGACAAAGTTGCATGAAATGCCTCTATTCGGTTATTTGAACAATTACTTGAAATTTAAGGCCTGTGACTTAATATTTACGTAACTGTTATGTATGCTGATAGTATTACAAAATTGCTTTAGGTGAGCCTTGCAAAATTATATATAGGTGAGCAACTATTTTGGGGTATAGTGATAAAAGTATATTAAATTTCTAAGGTATATGTTAAGTGAATAGACTTGTATATGACCTGGAAAACTTTAATGGATATTTTAAGGTTTAACTGTACCTTTTGATGATCAAATCAGATTTTTAAAAGCGTATATATCTTTAAATGGTTGTTATGAAGCTTTGTTTGGTCCTGCTAATACTGTAGTGCTATTTTGGGTTCTGATACTGCATTGTTGAAGCATTGACTTGTGAGAGCAAGCTAAGGACTCATCAGGAATCCTAGCTATTACAGTGAATGGCCTCTAGAATCCTTTAAAAATCTGCAGGAAGATCAAAGAAAGCTTGTATGTTTCTTCCCAAAAGTGTTATGTTGCACATTGACTACATCTCTTTATTGGGCGCTTACAGTAGAAACAGATGCTGTTTTTTTTTAATCTGTCCTATAGCAGTTGGTTAATGGGCTAGGCTGCTGAATATATAAACGTCAGTGAAATAACTAGATCCTTTGAGGTCAGGGTACTGTGGTTTGTTTTAATTGGGCAATAGAAGTCAAAATGTGCCAAACAGTGTTTTGGGGAGGGAGGAGGAAGGAGTGTGTTTAACTTGGGCCTTAAGTACTAATTTTTCCATCTTGGCTAATAAAACTTGGTACTGACCATTATTTTTCTTTTTTATTCTTTTTTTCCCCTGAAAGAACAGATATGTGCATTTGCTATGAAATCTGGCAACGTTGACTTGTTTATAAATACTTTGATACATATCTGATGATAGGTTGAGAGTGTGAGTGTGCGTGCGTGCTCGCCATATAGGATTATGGCTTCTGCTGTCAAAATTAGCTCATACACAAGAACAGATTTACAGTAAAAAAATGCCTATCATCAGGTTGAATTTCTATATCTTGCATTTGGTAATTACTTTATATAATGCATGGTTGATTGACCAGGTCTTAGACATGTCATTTTGCTTTTTTTCTTTTTTGTTCTGGAAGTTCAGAATAAATACTAATTTGAACAGAGATGATAATGTTCAGCAAAAATTTTTCTACTTTTTTTTTCTTTTCTTTTGGACGGGTACATAATCAAGTAGCAAGACTAGAGGTGCGCTGATACATCGGTCCAATATTGGACTGGTACCGATATAAAGAAAACTGGCTATATCAGATATTGGCCTAATGGGGCCAATAATTTGATTGATTTAAATGCCTGTGCTGTGTGCAGCCTCAGTGCAGCACTCAGGCAGCAAGGAGCACAGCTGGCAGTGTGGAGAGCTGCCTCCAGCTGGCAAGTCCGGTGAGGTAGAAGGGAATGGGGGAGGGAAGTGTCATGGGGGAGGGCAGATCAATACCGCCCTCAGCGAGGGAGAATTGGGGCTGGTGTGGCTTCTGCCACTGCATGCATCCCAGGAGGGGCAAGCGGGGGGCATATGCCCCTGGATCTGTGCAGGGCAGGGTGGGCTGCAGCTGGGGCTGCGCAGGGCTCTTTGGCAGGAGCTGGGCTCAGAGTGGGTGCCAGCAGCGCTGGGAAGATGCTGCATCCACCCCAAATTTCACCTCTCCCAGTGCCGCCACTGCCAGATGCCCGGCACAGCCCCGGCTCTTCCAGGCATGTGGGTGGAGGCAGGGCGTTGAGCCAGGGCTGCACCAGGTGGCTGCTGGCTGTGGTGCTGACAGCTGAGCGGTGGCAAAATTTAGGGTGGATGCAGCATCCTCCCAGCACTGCCGGTGCCTGCCCCGAGCCCAGCTCCCATGGAGAAGAGCCCTGCGCAGCCCTGGCTGCAGCCTGTTCCACTCTACCCCGTGCAGATCCAGGGGGCATAGGCCCTCCCGTATGCAAGCAGTGGCAGGAGCTGCTTCTGCCTCCCCCGTTTTGCTTGGGCAGTACCTGCCCCTACCCCAGCCCCACTCTTCTCTTACCACGGGGGTGTCAATCTGCCCCCCACCATGCCTCTTTCCTCCTCCCTCCCCTTCTACCACACTGGATTTACCAGTTGAAGACAGCTGTATCAGAAATCAGGTTGGTATTGGCTGATATGCCTCCTTAAAAATCGGCTATCGGTGTTGGCCCCCAAAATCTCTAGCGATGCACCCCTAAGCAAGGCATATTAACTCGATGTTAAATTGTATGCATCTGTATTTTAAGCTGTGACCTGAATTACCCTGCTGCCTACCTCATTTCCAAGGAAATATATTTTTAGAATAACATTCTAAATAGCAGGTGGAAAATGTTGCTGTTGCACATTGATTTAAATTTTGGGTTATATTACTTGACTTAAAAAAACAATCAACCTACTTGTAAGAAGGGTAACTTAAGTATGGTCTTAAAGATGAATCAGAAATCTTCCATTTAATTAAAAAAAACTGTTTAGCCATCATTTGAGAGAGAAAATATCACAAAAATTGTTCTGTGCATGCTAAAGCTTTGTGTCTTTTCATGACTGGCTTCATAAAAACAAAATTATTTTTAAAGGAAGACTAGTGTCTGAATATAAAGACTGTATTACAGGGAGAATACTTGTAGTTTGTCAGTTTAATATTTTCCAGTAATACACTGGATAGATTTGTAACTGGAGTAGAAAAAGCTGTTTGAGCTGCTGCATCATTTTTTTTTTTGGTAACTTTTCTATAGTTATCTTGTATTTAAGTTGGTCAATACATTTAGTGATTGGGATGCAGTACAAGCTGTGCTTCAGTAAGGATCTCTCTCTTTACAGACAGAAGTACTCTGCAATATGGATGGTAAACCATGGAATAGAATAATTTTTTGCTGACCAAATATGCAGTGGTAGAGAGATCCTGGTATATAGAAAGCATTTCTTTTCAGGACAGGACTTAAGCATGTGCTGAAATACCTTCACCCTACTTTAACAATGGCACTGATGCAAGATATTCTGCATGCAAGTTTGGAACTTCTTTTAGTCAAAGTAAGGTTCTTGCTCAATCTAGTAATCGCCTTGTGCCAATAAGTCAATCACTGTAATTCAGAATAGCAGTCTAGACCAGGGGTCAGGAACCTATTGTCCATGAGCCAGGTCTAGCTCAAAAAAGGATTCTTTCCAGCCTGTACATCTGGGATACAGAGGCAATTTGGGGACAAGGGAATCCATGATGTTGGGTGGCACATGGTGAAAGAAATCTGCAGACTGGTGGCAGCCTGCCAAAGCCCGAGTTCCATTAATTTGGTCAGTCACTGCTCAAAGGTTGCTGATCTCTGCTTTAGGCTGGTCTTTAGAACAGAGTGCCTTCTAAAATAGTTGGCTGAACCAGTCAGTCCTTGTATATTTAATTGCTGTATTGAAGAGTACCTATAAATTCAGGGTGAGATCTTTGCATTCCACTCTGGATTTTTTACGGTGGGAACAAAGACTGGAGTGGTAAGAAGACTATTAAGTCCTGTATACAGTTGGGAGAGGATTCCTCCCATAAAGGAAATATTGAAGAGAGTTGGAAAGCTGTCTTCTGAGGAACTTGTAAGCCTTGCTGTGCTTGAAAATGATTAACTGATCTGGTGAAGGCCATTGGGTTAAAATAGAGTCTGACCCAGGTTGAAGCTATGCTGGCTGGCAGAAGAAAGTAATTCCAAATTAAAGTAATTGGGAGGTTTTGCACCTGGAGTACAATTGATTATTATTTATTTATTTATTTTTGAAGGTGTATACCGTCAATTAAGCCTATGATTTAGGAGTGGTCTTGGGTATTCTTGTACCATCAGCACTCTTAGGTTAAGAGGCTCTTTCTTATATTAGCAGGGAGGGATCTGTCCAGAGTTGTATACCTTCATCACCTCATATCTGGACTGTAGCTCTGCAAGATATTTGGGTCTGAAGTCATTTGTCTTTAAAAGACTCCAACTAGTAGGACACTACTGCCTGTCTTCTCTGTGACACTGGCCACTGTAAATGGATCAGAACTATCCTTTACTGTATATGTTGGCTTCTCATAAAACAGACTGGTAAGTAATCTGAGCCAAAGGTGCCTAAACCTCTGAGAGGAAGTTTCTAGCCAACAACTTTGCCCCTCATACACCATGGATTTTTGATCACAAGGCTAATGTCTGCATAGCAGTTACCTTGCTTGAATGATGGGCTGAGGCTGTGGAATGAACTGCCCCCGCTACCAGGAGTGGATCCAGGATTTTATAAAAGGGAGGGTGTGGTTCCAGCGTCTGGCACCGCAGTGGTGCCCGCATGCCCTGCTCTCAGCCTCCTGTCCCTTCCTCCTCACCTGAGCAGCCAGACCCTCCCCTGGGAACAGCAGCTGAGGAGTTTTAAGTCCCAAAGAAGGTAAGCATTCCCCCTTCCCTTCCCCTCTGTGCTCAGAGATAATCTCCTCTCTTCTCCATCCCTTCCCCCTGAATTTTTTCCCC